TTTTTTTTTTTTTTTTTTTTGAGACAGGGTTTTGCTATGTAGTTCACGCTGGCCTTGAACTTGCTTATGTAGCCCAGGCTGGCCTCAAACTCATGGCAATCCTTCTGCCTCAGCCTCCCAAGTGCTGGAATTACAGGTGTGCACCACCACACCCAGCCCTTTTTTATTTTTTATTTTGAGCCTGGGTCTTGCCAAGATGTCAAGGCTGAGCTTGAATTTGTGAGCCTCTTGCCTCAGCCTCCCAGTGTGCAGGGATTACAGGTATGCCTGGCTTGTATCTATTTTAAACTTCTTCATCCAGAAATGATCCCAGTCCTCTCAGAGCTAATGGTATAATGGGAAGAGGGGTTAGATATTTATAGTCAAATAAATAATTTGACTATAAATATAAAACTGCATCCCTATTCTTAGAAACACAAGAAACTATGGAGACAGTTTAAGCAGGTTATCTGAGCCTTTAGGATCTGTGTACTTTTTGAAAAGATCCCCCAAGGGATGGGAGAAGACTGGACTAGAGGGGGTCAGAGTGGAAGCAGGGAGCACCACAGCCACTTCCTGCAGTTTGCAAGAGGAACCTGGAACTAGCTCTGGCTGCAGTCCGTGCGGTCTCTCCCATGGTGGAACTTCCGGAAGGTTCTCCAGGCGGAAGGGAGGTGGGACTGCAGCTGGCCGATGGGATGACATCCCACCCGAGGGCCAGGGACTCACGCCCTTCAGACAGAGCCCCTTCTGTGGCAGAACACCTTGACTATGAAGAACTTTCTCCTACTGTGAAGGCAAAAAGCTTTTCCCCACAGCGGCCCACCCCCCCGTGATCCTACATCTGCCACTCAGCCCTGGGTATCACGCTGCAAACCTGTAGCCCACCTGACTCTCCCACGGAGGAAGATGGCTCAGCGAATTCAGTGTCACGCTGCAGAGCGAAGTACAGTGGGCCCTCGAGTTAGAGCCAGCCTGATGTACGAACGAATCGGGTGAGGGCCGGAATTTTGAAGTCTTGAGTTGTGACCCGAATGCCGGCCGCTTGCGCTTCCAGATGGTCAGATGCAGAGTGAACCCTTAAAGAGTCTGCAAGGAACGTTACAGCATCCTGTCCTGCGTGGAGTTCACTGAGAAATCCTGGGCCCATGTCTCTCTAAGGATGCTGAGATCTGCCTGTGTACAGGAGAGAGACTTTGAAGGCCGTGTAGAGGAGCCTGAGCCTCCAACTGACAGCCTGAGTTACAGCCAGGCCTCGGGCACGAATTGAGTTCGTAAGTGAAGGACCACTGTACTGGACAGGCAGGAGCCACAGCTATTAGACATGCTAAGTTTTCCTCTTTGTGGTTGTGAGTGTAGCTCAGAGGTATAATGCTTGCCCAGGATTCATGAGGCCCTGGGTCTGATCCCCAGTGCCGAAAAAAGTTTTTCTCATTAAAGCAGGATGTGAATGGCCTTTTTAAGATAACTGGGGGTCGTTGGGTGTAGTGGCACACACTTGTAATCCCAGCATTTGGGAGGCTGAGGCAGGAGGATTGTTGCAAGTTCAAAACCAGCCTAGGCCACAAAGTGAGCTCAAGGCCAGCCTGAACTGCATAGCGAGAACCTGTCTCAAAAAAGACGGGGAAAAAACAAAAAACAAAAAACAAAACTGGGGGAAAATGGAATATGCACTGACAACTAGACAATATTACAGAATGATGTTGTCTTGCGTATAGTAAGTACTGTGGTTATCTAAGAGAAAGTCCCCATTCTTAGGATCTGAACTGTTTTGTGGTGAATCTTCCACTTACTTTTAAACGGGTTAGAGAATTATACAAAGAAAGAGAAAGCAAATATAGCAGACAACCTTTAAAATTGTTGTCTAGGTGGAGGGAATCTGTGCTGCACGAACTTTTCTGTATGTTTGAAATTGATAAAGAAAAGTGAAGGGGAAGCAGCTTACTAAACTGATGACTCATAGTCATTCTCTGTCCCTCTGTCTCTCTCTCTCTGGTAGTACTGGGCATTGAACACTGTGTTTTTGCACTGAGCTATATTCCCAACACTTTGTGGTTAGTGGTTAGTTTTTGAGACAGTATCTGTCAAGATGCTAAGTTGACCTGGCTGAGGTTGAATTTATAGTTTTCCTGTCTCAGCCTCCCAGAATGCTGGGACTACAAGTGTGCACCCTGATGCATGGCATGTCATCTCTCTCTCTCTCTCTTTTTTTTGTCTTTTTTGAGACAGGGTTTCGCTATGTATGGAGTTCAGGCTGGACTTCAACTCATTTTGTAGCCCAGGCTAGCCCTGAACTTGCACAGATCCTCCTGCCTCAGCCTCCCCAGTGCTGGGATTACAGGTGTGCCCCACCACGCCCAGCCATGTTATCTCTTTTTTGTATCAAAATCTGTACACTGGCGTTAGGTTGAGGTGGAAAGAAAATGCACCAAAATGTCAAGAGAAAGTTGGGAAGGAATAAAGGGGGGTTGGAGAGGTTTTCTTTGTCTTGTTTCGTTTCTGTTGTCTACAATTTGTATAAAGTAAGTATATTTAAGGAAATGTGGGAAGGTCCTGACAGGCCCAGAAGCAGCCTTGGCCAGAGCTCTTCCTGCAGTGCTGAGAAAAGGATGCGTGGGGAGACCATGGAGGCTGCCCAGCCCAGCTCTGATGGCCCCACAGATGAGCCTCTATCGCCCAGCCTGGATGGGCGTTGCCGGAGGACCCCCACCTCCCTTCCAGCTGTGAACATGTTCTTCTGCTTTCCAGATATTTGGCGCCTTCTCTTCCTCGGCTCTCCGACTCAGCAAAGGTTTCTACGGTACTGGCGAGACATTCCTCTTCTCCTTCTCCCCACAGCTGAAGGTGATGCTCCCGCCTTCTACGGGGGGCAGGGAATGGCAGGACACAGCTCCGGGGTCCCAGTGTCCCCAGCCGACCAGCAACTGTCCCTACAGGGGGATGTGGCAGGGTGGTGGGCAGGGTGCGCCCTGGGCTTGTCCCTCTTTTAAGAAATGCCCCCTACGTGTCCACACCCAGTGACTGGCTGGGGGGACGCGCTTGCCAGATGCAGGCTGGAAAGACAAGATGGGCCAAGTGCAGGCGGGCCTAAGGGTGTGGTGGCAGAAGGATGTGTCCAGTGGCTTCCTTCCCCCCCACTTTTAATTTTATTGGTACATTTTAGATACACATAGTGACAACATTCATCATAGGGAGTTTGTACCTTGCTTTTCCCCCATTCTCCCTTCCCTCCCTCCAACCCTCACCACTTTCCTTCTTTATTTACAAAAGTTTTGTTTCCACTTTTTCCTTTTGAGGGGGCAGGGTCTCGCTGTGTAGTGCGGGGTGGCCTTGAACTCACTTACTACGTAGCTCAGGCTGGCCTCAGACTCAGGGTGATCTTCCTGCCCCAGCCTCCTGAGTGCTGGGATTACAGGCGTGCACCAACCCGTCTGGCCCAGTGGCTTCTTTAGAAGCATGGGGTAAGGGCCTCAGCTAAGAGGAAGGACAGGGTGTGGGGAGGAGGAGTAGAGCAGGCCCTCAGTGTGTGAAAAGGGGCCTGGAGGAGGCTGCTTAGACAGGGACAGCCAGGCTGTGCAGCCCAGGCCTGCCCTCTGTCCCCTGACTGCTTCTGCCCGTGGCACTCAGCTCCTTGGCCAGAAGAGCGGGGGATGAGGGTCCCCCAGGACTGGGGCTTTGCTGAGCCGGCTGAGCAGAGGCTGGAGGGACAGCAGGGGTGGGGATGGGACAGACATGGAGCACAGGCCCCAGACTGGACAAGAGGTGAGGGAAGCCAGAGGGGCCTGGGGTGCTGAGGCAAGGTGGACTGCATGGAGCCGGGGTCTCCTGAAGGTTGGGGACGTGCAGCAGCAACAGCAGTTAGCAGTGTCAGAAGACGGGACATGGCAGGCAAGGGACATGAAAAAGACGTGGAGGACAAGTTCCCAGAGCGGACTGTGAAATAGCAGTTGGAAACTCTGGAGGCACAGGGCACAGGAGCTGAAGGGCAGAGTGGATGGGTCCGTGCGGAAGGTGACGTCCAGCACAGAGCTGGGGAGGTGGCCAGTGAATGACAGGCACCGGTGACTGGTACCATCTCAGACGGCGCAAGCTGCCAAAAGCTGGCGCTTATTTTTTACTGGTGATTGAGCCCAGGACCTTGGTACTGAGCTACATCCCAGCCCCCCTTTTTATTTTTTATTTAGAGACAGGGTCTTGCTAAGTCGCTACGTTGCCCAGGCTGGGCTCAAACTCGGCAATCCTCCTGCCTCAGCCTCCCAGAGTGCTGGGGCTACAGGTGTGTGGCACCAAGCCTAGCAGTGCTGGGACTTTTGAAGGTGAATAACAACCCCAAATACGTTCCATTCAAGGACTCTGTCTCTGGGTTACTTTTTTTTTTCCTTTCCGGTACTGGGAATCGAACTCACGACCTCGCACTTGCCAGGCAGGTGCTGTGCCGCTGCGCTAAATCCCCAGCCCCTCTGGGTTACTTATTCAACGATGCTACTGAGCCCTACGTGCTTGGCACAGAGCGTACTGCTTTTACTGCCAGCAGATGACAGCAGCTCACGGGGAACCAGTTTGCCTCCTCCAGGAACTGGTGCATTTAATTGTCACAACCACCTCAGGAAGTGGGTGTTATCACTCCCATCCTACAGATAAGGAAGCTGAGGCTGAGACAGGCTGGGTAAGGTGCCCACTGAACAGAGTGCCCAGGGCAGTGGGAGAAGTGCAGAGGAGGAGCACAGCCTCTAGGGGGGCAAGCTCAGGAAGCTTCCTGGAAGAGGAGCTTCTGGAAGTGGCTCTTACTGGGCAGATTATCAGGTGGTAGAGGGTGGAGCCCCCTTGGAGCTGTGCAAAGGCACAGAAACTGGAGAGAAGAGAAAGCACACTTAGGAACCAAGAACATGGGGAGGGTCAGAGTGGGTAAGACAGGGCATCATATTGCTTTGCATGGTCAGAGCAAGTCCTCCAGAAAGAGTACTTGTTCCTGGTTTGTTCGACGCATGCAGAAACAGTTCCAGTGCTTTGGTTTGCTGCGGGGGGATCTCCTTTCCCAAATGTAGCATGCAGGCGAGGGCACCTGCAGACCCACCCAGCACAGGGGGCAGGGACTGCCCTGCTCAGGGACCACGCTCTTCCCTATCACTCAATCCAAAGGCCAGATGTCTCCCTTGCCCTTCCCAGGAGGCTGCGTGGCCAGCCCAACCAGAAGCTGAGCCATCACCACTTGCCTTCCTGTGTTCCTACACTGGAACTCTGTAAGTTCTAGAATTTTCTGCACTGACAACTCTTTGGTGCTTCTGCCTCCATTTTTTCTTTTTTTGTACTGGGGATTGCTGAACCCAAGGCCTTCACACTGAACTATAATCCTAGCCCTTTTAAAATTTTTTTGAGACATGGGGCTGGGGATTTAGCTCAGTGGCACAGCGCCTGCCTGGCAAGTGCAAGGTCGTGAGAACAATTCCTGGTACTGGAAGAAAAACAAACAAACAAAAAAAACCCAAAAAACAAAAAGTGTTTTTGAGACAGGGCCTCACTGAATAGCTCCGGTGCGCTTGAACTTGATCCTCCTGCCTCAGCCTCCCAGAGTGCTGAGACTATAGGCATGTGCCATGCCGACTTCTTCAACCTTTTTAACATGACTTCAGTGTTTGGTTCTCTTCTCTGACTGCTCTTTGTGGCCCTGCCTGCCATCTGCATGCTGACGACCTCTTTCTGAACTCCAAGCTCACATATATCCAACTGCTCCTCGGCATCTCCACCTGGATCTCCAGCTCGGCATTTCGAACTGAGCTTGTCTTTCCTTACGCTCCCCTCCCCGTCAGGGTTGTGGCGTCTCCTTCTTTCCCGCTGCTGAGATAATCGTCCCTGGTGCTCCTTACCTCTGTTCATACTCCGCTTCTGGCCTGACAGCTCTGCCTCGCGTCCGTATTTAGAATGCCTGTGTCCTTTGCTGTCGCTTTGCCTCAAACCTCCGTCGTGACTTGTGTGCAGTCCAGGCATAGCCGCCTAACAGGTCTCCCTGCTTCCCCTGCGGTCACTGGAATAACTGGAGTGATACCTTTGAAAGGGAAGTCAGGACATGTTGCTCCTTGGCTTCCTTTTTCATTTGAGGAAAGTCTATTCAATGGCTTTCTAGTCCTTCCACTTTCTGACCCCTCTCCAATGTTGTTTCTTGCCACTTTTCCTCCCCCTCACTCTGCTCCAGCCATACTGGCCTGAGCTGGTGCTCACACACACTGGCCTGCTTCTGCTTCAGGACCTTTGCATGTGCTTCTCTGCCCTGAATGTTCTTCCACTGTTCTTGCATATGGCTCAGTTCTGTCCTCATGTCTCCATCTCAGTGACTGCACCCCCTCACTTAAAACTTAGCTCACCTGAAAACCTTCATTGCCTTCTCTGTCATTTCACCATGTGACACACTTTCCTCTTACTTCCTTCTCCGCCTCCTCCTGCTAGAATGGGAGTCTCTGACACTGTTGTCTGTTGTGTTCACCGTTCTACTCAGTGCCTAAGCTCTGCCCTGTGCATAAGGGCGAAAACAATTACTGAATGAGATAAGTTGACTTTTCCCTGGATGAGCACTACCTATCATCCAAGCTGAGTGTTATGGAATCCTATCTTTTCAAAAACTGGTTCATTCTTGCCTGTCTCTCGTCTGTTGGCACTTCTTGTGTTCTGCACAAGTTCCCAGGAGTTCAGCACTTGCTTGCTATTCCAAGCAGCACCGTGAACTTTGTCTTAATTTCTTCCATGACAATGTTTCCCATACTCTCAAGTCTGAAGGTCACGTCCTTGAAGAAAGTAAGGAGACACTGAATGTTTCTGTCTTGTTGCACATTCTCATCCCTTCTGAACCCAGGACTGAACATTTTTCTCTTCCCCAGTACTGGGGACTGAGCCCAGCGTTTCACACATGCCAGGGAGCGCTCTCCCACTGATCCACATCCCCAGCCTTTCTCTCCTTTTGAGACAGGGTCTCACCAGGCTACACTCAAATTTGCACTCCTCTTGCCTCAGCCTCCCAAGTAGCTGAGATTACTCAGCCATGCCCAGCCAGGAATTACCTTTTAGTTGACTTATTTTCTTACGAAAAGCTTTTATTGCTTATAGTATTTTTGACAACTTTCTACAAGCAATATTACACTTCTGTGGCCCTCTGAAAATCCTCTGGTTTGACTCTAGAACAATTTTTTCATCTAACAACTATGATAGTACATGGGCGGCAGGAACACGGGGAACCAAGGCAGGAATAAGGGCACCCTGGCACATGACAGTCACGGGGGCGGGGGGGATGCTGAGGAAGACACCAGGGCCAGGAGGGAGGTCCAGGAGTCCCTCGGTGAGGCCTGGGCTCAACAATAAGAGGTGGGGCCTTGAAGACCTGGGCAGGTGCTCTCTGGGTAGAAGGACCAGGTGTCCAGGGACACAAAGGCCAGTGTGGTTTAAGTGCGGCCAATGGGGTGGGGGTGGGCAGAGCAAAAGACCAAGTGGGGCAGGGTGCTTCGTGCTGTAGGAAGGAGTCAGAACTCGACCCATTACTTCAGCAGAACAGTGACAGCATGACCCGGGTGTGGACACACCCCTGAGGCTGCAGGGTGGAGACAGGCTGCAGGGGGGAGACGGGGACACTGAGACGGGGGAGGCTGTGACCCTGGCCGGGGTGAATGTGGGCAAGGCAGGGTGCGGCAGGAAACGGCTGAGCAGCAGCACTGGAGGACACGCCAGCCTGGTGTGGCCTCCGGGGACAGCATCATCAGTCCCGGCTCCTGGCCTGTACTTTTCTCCTTGTTTCTCCAGCTGGAAGGAGAAAGCTTCAGGGGTTGGTGCTGTCCCTACAGCAAAGGCGCCGCTGCACACGTAGACTGGGAATGCAAAGCTGAAGGGGCCGGAGTCTGGCGCGGCAGGAGCGGGGTGCACTTCCTGCAGCAGGCCGGACCTGGAGGCTCCATTCCCTTCATAACACTGCCACCCAGGGGCTTGAGGCCAGACTGCAAGGGCGGGACTCAGTAACCCCGGCTTTCTTTCACCTAGGTCTTCAAGTGGACAGGGAGCAACTCGTTCTTTGTGAAAGGCGACTGGGATTCACTTATGATGGGCAGTAGCAGGTACATGTCCCGGTGCCTTCCCCGCTCCTGAAATGCACTGTTGGGCGTGACCGGCCTAGATAGGCAGGAGAGGCAGGGGGCTCACTTTCAGGCCTTCAACGTCACTGCCCGCTGTGCTCTAAGCCAAGGAGGGAGGAGAAAGGATGCGCGAACCTCACATCCAGCTGCTTACAGCTGGTGATGCCTTAGTCTGAATTTCTGTAATTCTGGAAGCATCCAGGTGGTTGCATGAAGCTAGACACGAGAGATCTATCAGTCAGCGCAGTAATGCCAGGAGATATAAATCATTCGACGGAGGGAGGCAAGCAAGCCGCATCTGCCCAAGAACCAGCCCGTGTGCATGTGTGAGCCTGTGCACGGGCCAGAGGGAGAATTTCGGTCTCTTTAAATTCAGGCCCATGAATAAGCTTCACCCTGAGGGTGAAGATGAAAGCACTGATTAGTACCAGGCAAATTCTCCGCTTTCCCAGCTGCCTGAAAAGCCTCCCCTGAGAGGCAGCTTGGCAAGAACACGTCATTCAGTGCTGATTTGCAGTAATTCACTCTGGGCTTCAGTCTAGGTTTGCTGTCAAAGGGAGGTGGTGTTCCAAATGTCCCAAATGGGGCTGTGATGGTTGTACCATTGCACACATTTGCTAAAATCACTGCACTGCTTCAGAAATATTCTAAACCCTGTAGGGACCAACATGCTAAGTCCTTCAAAAGTTGGGGTAGATCTGTTAAGGGGAAGATAACAAGGTATAGGCAAGGGCTGGTGATGGTAGTAAATCCTGAAGGTCTGACACGTAGCAGTGAGCTGGGCCCAAATATCCTTCTCTCTCTAGTGGCCAGTTTGGGCTGTGGCTGGATGGAGATTTGTATCATGGGAGAAGCCACCCCTGTGCGACCTTCAACAACGAGGTGCTGGCCCGGCAGGAGCAGTTCCACATCAGGGAGCTGGAGGCCTGGGTTCTAGGCTGAGGCCCTGTGTGGCGGCTTCCTGGGCTGCCGGGCTATGGACCTGCGTGCACCTTCCTGGCCTTCTGTACCCAGGACAGCCCCTCTGCTCGGCGCGAATGGCCAAGTGCCCACACGTGGACTGTGGCTGTTGGAAAGCTCGTGGCCTGGGGACACATGGGATGAGGCAGGCATTGCTGTCCTGCAGACGTGACTCTGGAGGTGTCAAAGACACACCTTACCCAGAAACAGCCCCTCATGAAAACAATCTTTATAGGAATTCTACAACTAATGCAACATGTTTATTTGCAGAAACCCAGAACACATGAAAAATTAAAATTGCCTAAAATTCAACTCCTCTTAAACAACATTGTGTATATGCTTCCAAACAATCTTCTATAGATGCATATAGATATAAAAATACGGATGTAGATATACACACGCAAATGGGATGCGGCTTTGTAAATTTTAGAAATCACTTTAAAGAATACCATCAAACCTCAGACACCTGTGCTCAGCCAGTGAAACTAACAAAGACTAGTAGCATCTCCCTTCTCTTGCTTGCCCTGACACAGCGGAGGGTGTTTGCATCCAGTACTTGACTTCACAGGGAAAACACAAAAGCAGCAAATGAACAATGTGCACGTTTGGGCAAAGAAACAACTGTTTTAGACTCAACCTCAAGCAGGTTAAAAGAGAGAAAGGAGTATGTTTTATGGCCAGCCAAGAGCTCTAAGAAAACTGCATATCCCTTCCCACACCAGTGCCTGCCTCCTGCCAAAAGGAAAAACGCTCTCACTCGTTCCACCGCTTGAGGAAAACCGGCTACCTGGGACAGTGTTAGTCCCATCCCCTGGCAGATCCAGCACAGACAGTGTTGAGGTGCCAAGGAGGACCTGGGTGGAGTCCGGCACAAGACGCGTTCCTCTGCAAAGCAGCGGCCACGCGGGGCCCACGGCCACGCAGCACAAAGTGCTGAAGGAGCGCGCTGCTGGCTCCAGGGTGGACACACATTCTCAGAGCTTTATTGCAGCTATTTTCCACACCCAGTTAAGTCACCAGTCCCTTCAAGCTGAAGTTCTATTTTCATTCTTTAAGGTGACAATGTTTAGTATCGCTAGCGACTAAGCTGTTAAAATCTCCATTTTTACACAGACTTACAATGTTTCTTCAGAAAAATTTATAGCTGTAAATGGCACATGGTTCTGGTAATTAAAACAGTTGCAAACAGCATAAAGTGCAGTTGTCTTACATGGAAAAAAAGGTGTGAACAAAACAGATTAATTTCTCAGATAACACAATGATATAGTCTGAGGGCTACAAAATTCCAGAGTTAACCACAAATGATTTTAAAATCAAGTCAGTACAAACAAAACAATCTTAGGAAAGTATCACATTCTTGAACGTGAGCCTGGGCACAGGAGGTTGAGACTACAGTTGTCTACCCTGAATGTGTCAGAGGTGCCTGGCGAGGCAGACACAGGCCAGACCCTCACTTGTGCGTCAACGAGCGTCCCCACACGGGCAGCACCGTGGAAGGAGAGACAGGACGGTTCTGCCTATGCTCCTAGGAAAGACGGTCACCCTGATTCTCTACTGAGGGATGGAGGGCATGGTAACACAGGACGGCAGACACCGAATTCTTCACCAGGAGTGGACGGAACAGAATCTAGTTGCACAATGCAAAGCAACAGCACAGGGCATCTGCTGTCACTTTCTTGGGGAGTGACAAGAGGACATCAGTGTGTAAGAAGAGGGGGGCTCAAGGCCTCTGTCTCCACTGCCCTGCATCTCCACACACTCTGGTCACCTCCTCATTTGGCTCCAACTCCAGACCTTGTTCTTGGAGACTTTCTACAGCCTGGGGCTATATAGGACAGGTTCCCTGGGGACAGCTGTCCTGCTCAACCAAGGGGGTACCCACTCTGTGGCTGGAAAAATCAAGTTACAAAGGGGAACCTGGGACCCACTGGAGCCTGAACCTCGGCAAAGGTAGGATAGTCCAGTTTGCTTTGAAACCTGTAACATGCACTGAGCCAGCAAAAACAGGTCCAGGTGAGAGTGACCCCAAGGACAGTCCTTGTGATGTCCCAAGCCATTCACTGGGCAGACCCAGAAAGCAGGTAGGGGGATGGGGAGTTCACTCTAGGCTAGGCAGAGGTGAGGCCCTTGGGCTAGGGCAGTGAGGACTCAGGGGAGAGAGAGAGAAACTCCCAGGTCTGGGGCACAGCTGACTCAGATAGCAGCCTGGTCTAAGGACTCCCTATGCTTCTGTGGTCTCCTAAAAGACAGCTTTATGTGCTAATCCCAGCCTGCACCAGGGATGTGGCTCAGTTAGTGCTATAGCACTGGCCCGAAATGCATGAGGCCCTGGGTTCCTTCCCAGCAACACACACACACACACACACACACACACACACACACACAGGCCTGAACCCTCAGATCCTCTCACTAAACAGTTGGAGCCTAGTCCTCCTTTACTTCCTACTGTGTGCCCCAACGTGGCGGCTTACGGGGGGCTAGGAGAGTGAGGACAGGCGTACTTCCTTTGATCACTTGAGGAGTGCTAGCTTCAAACTTGGGGTGATGAGCACCTCCTTGGGGGGTAGAATTTGTTTTATTTTTAATCATGTCTGCTCATGACAATTCCTACTTCAAATTCTAATTTGTACCCTTGCCTCACTTCTAAATTAAAGAAAAAACAATCATCTGTCATAAGAGATTAGATTAAAAAAAGAGTTGCTATTCTAAAAAAATAGACTACTAAAGGAGAAAGGCGAGTAACATTAAAAATAGGCAAGGTAATTCTTCTCACAACGTGTAGCAAAATTTGTCTAATACCTTTTTTGCTTTTTGAGTAAGAATAACTTACCTTCAGGATGTGTATACATTCAAAACACAAAATAAAAAGCACTCGTAACTAAGTCTGTGGAACTCTAGGACTGAACTCCCCATCTTGCGTTGGGGAGGACTTTTTGTAAACAGCCAAGCACAGACGTTCACATGGAGTCATCCTCGGGTAAGGTGGGCTCATCCTTCAGCACCACAGAGTCCCCCTTAAACAGCTGGACTCTGGTTCTGGATGCTTCTGGAGGGTGAATTGGCTTGTAGTTCCACTCTAGTTTTCGAGGTGTTATAAAGGGGGCTACAATATCACCATCCTAGCAGATAGAGAGAGAGAAAAACAGGAAATAGAGAAAATCCAGTTTCTGCCATCTCACTGCTAAGCGAGTGTCTCAGGCACACCCCCTCTTCATCTGCAGCCGAATGCCGCGCAACAGACTCTCTCTCAGGAAACTCCCAATGATATATGCCCCGTGCTGGGGTCAAATTAGAAACACTGTAGACATAAGCCAGCAAAGTCCTCATGAAGAAAGCCACCAGAGCTCTAAAGATGGCTGGACTGGGGATGTAGCTCAGTGGCGGGGTTCTTACCTAGCAGACAGAAGGCCCTGGGTTCCACCCCCAGCACTGGGGTGGGGTGGTGATAGGGGAGCTGGAAGTAGCACCCCACTGCTCAGGCCTATGCACAACTTCACAGACTCCCTCCTGTTTTCCAGGAGAGAAAGAACCTGCACTGGGTCCTTGCTTCTCTCTTCCCTGATCCCCTCTGAAAAAATGCCTAGGTAAGGAGATGGCACAAAAAGGGGAAGGAGAGTAAGGACCTGCTGAATGCGAATTTTTCTCTGCAATTAAAGCTCTAACTTTTGCCCCATGAGCATTGGCTATACTCCAGCCAACGAGCTCATCCACCCAAAATGAAGACTGGCTTCAAACTGAAGGGATACTTCTGACCTGAGTAGACAGCCTAAGCAGGAAGGCCTCCAAACCCTGTCTCTGTTCTCGACCACTTTATAATTTGCAGTTAGATTCTCTGTGGTCACATGCAGGCTCTTTAGGAGCCTCTGCTACACTAGGAACAGAATGTGGTGGGACACTGGGCTCCTCTGCTGATTGGCCACCAGACGCTCTTCCCTCCTTTTCCCCTCCCCTCTCATTAACCACTCTCCCCAGCTCCCGTGCCCACTGGCTTCCACAGAGAAATTCATGTTCAGCAGGTGCATTCCCTCCTTTCCCTTTTCTTGCCAGCTCGTAGAGCTGGGCCATTTATTTCAGAGGGGACCAAGCGGGAGAGAAGCAAGGGTCCAGTGGAAGTGTGAATGGGTCTCACACTACAAACACAATAACAAGAACAACAGACCAGAGGGGAGAGGAGGAGAGGGCCAGGGTACCTGTCCCCCCTCTCTGGCACAGGCACTAGCATGTGTGACCCTCTGCGGGTCCAGCTTCTGCAAGGGTCCGAGCTCCTGGACACCCAGCTGCTCCTTTGGTCTCTCCTCGGAGGCAGCAGCAGCTTTCTGCGGTTGTCTCACTGCCCTCCGTTTGCTCTTTTAGCTCTGCCAAAATTTTCGAATCTCATCACTTGCATAAAACTCCTTCTGTTGAACTACACTGGATCTGACTTGGTAGTGCTTTTAAACACTGACGTTCAGTGGCCATGCGGTCCCACTCACAGACCTGCCCCTCTCTAGGTCAGCACTACTCAAACATCTCTATCGTGTTTCCTTACCTCTACCATTCTGCTTTCTAAAATTTTATTTTTATTAGTACACATTTGCAGTAGGTAACAATTATATTCATCAAGGGGACTTCCTACATGTGTATAAAACATCCTAACCCATCTGGTTTCAACTTAGTGAATGCTATAAATGCAAACTTAGAGATGCTAGTCTCCCTGATTCAACGGTCCCATCCCAGTTGCTCTTAGCTGACAGAACTCAGCAGAAAACTGCAGGCAGCTCACACTCAATGCTCCTCCCTGAAAGGCACCATATCCTCTCCTCTTCTCCCCGCCCACGATGCTCTGCTTCAACACCTCCTCGATGCAGTCACAGAGCGCACCTGCTCACTGACCCTTCAGGTCTCAGCTGCTAAACCCTTCCTTGGATCTTCCCAATCAACCAGGTCTGCCTAGATCTTCCGCCTTTCTGTTCCTTTCAGACTCTGCATTGGCCGACTCACAGCACTTACTGAGCTACTGCGACTGTTACTTTCTCTGTGCTTGTTATTCCCAGCTAGAGCGAGACTCATGGGACTAAGGAACTCTGTGTGTAACAGGTACTGATCCATCCCTGGTATCTAACACAGGGCCCAGCAAAAACACGCTCAGTGAGTGCATGTGCCTAGATTTAAGGCAGTTATCCCCACAGGACCACATGTTAAGAGCCTCTTGTCTCTCTGCTTCCAGCATCAAGTTCCGTTCTAGTCCATCTGCAGATAGGGTAGTCAGTGTTTTGTTGGGTTTTTTTGTCTTTTTGAGATAGGGTCTCGCTATGCAGTTCAGGCTGGCCTTGAACTCACTTTGTAGCCCAGGCCGGTCTTGAACTCACAACGATTCTCCTGCCTCAGGCTCCCAAGTGCTGGGATTACAGGCGTGAGCCCCCACACCCGGCTAGTCAGTGGTTATTTTCCTTCACTGCTACAGTACCTGAGATGGGCACAACTTTCTTATTCCCATGGGACCCATGCTACAAACACACAATAACAAGGACACAAGCAAGTAATTCTAGCAGCAAGGCAGGCTTTAGATACTCTCAATGATTCCCTCCCCACTGCAAGAAAGAGTCCTCCTCCTTAGCCAACTGTCCAAGGTTCTCCATCACAGTCCATTCTTTCTACTTGACCTCTCACCATGCAACAGTAAGAATCTTGCACTGTGGTCCGAGAGGTGTCCTCATCGGCCCTTCACTCTCACCTTGCCTAGTTCATGTCTCTACTTGCTGCTCCCAGCTAGACGTGTTTACCTTCTCCCTGTACTAAGCCTGACTCATCCTGCATCGAGCAGCTTGTCCCTCTCCACATGGCTTCCCTATAGCTTGTAGCCCTTGAATCTCTCAGAGCAAACTGCACCATGCTGTGGCACTGATCTAGTACTGACCTTTTGAGCTGCTCTTTCACACTGGACCCTGGGCTTTGTTCTCCTTAGTACCCAATGTTCAGGGAAAAAGGCAACTGGTCTTGGAGGCAGAATGCTGCAGCGACTTGCTTGTTAATTACATTCACCAAGACAGTCAACTAATATTTTTTTTGAGATAGGGTCTCACTATGTAGTGCAAACTGGCCTTGAGCTCTCTCTGTAGCCCAGGCTGGCTCAAACTTGCAACAATCCTTCTGCCTCAGCCTCCCAAGTGCTGGGATTACAAGCATTCACTCCCACACCTGCCAATCAACCAATATGGAATGGACACTTCCTCTATGCTAGACACCTATGTGTCATCAATAGGGACAATTTAAAAAATATTCTCCACAGGATTATCAAATGGAGGTTGTCTCCTATCTCTTTATTTTTATTCCAGGGAATTTAGTTTACTGACATCAACATAGCCAGGTTTCAGAACACTGAACTTGAAATACAAAATTTAAAAACTTGTTATCGGGTCGGTAGGGGACTTGCCTAACATGCTAACGACTCTAGCTTTGACCCCAGCATGACAAAACAAAGCACAAGGAAAATGTGTTATCAGTTAAATGTTGCCTTACAAAAGTTAATTACGCAGCTATGAAAACCTCAAAGGGGACACTGTAACTCATCTCCCCGGGTCACTAGGAGGACTGGGATAAGACAACTGGTGAGAATATTATAAAGCACTGTCATATGTTGTTTATTATTATAATTAGGTCAGTAATGATCAACTGAGTATCCACTCCCAACTAGTATAGGAAGAAATCACTGGTTGACACAGATGTATACATTTTCTTTTTTTTTTTTAATGTATACATTTTCAAAGGAAAGAAAGTGAAACAGTATTTTCAAAACCACAACGAAATGGCTATAATTCATTCATTATTTGTTGTGGTGACTGGGATTAAGCCCAGTGCCTGGTGCAAAGCACTCTATGATGAGCTACGTCACTGGCCCCATGGCTATAGTTTAAGTAAGAACTTGTCCCTCTTGGTTTTTCCTTAAAAACTAAAGCATGTGCGGTGTGATTAGAACGCCCACCTGTGGCTTTGTGAAGTCCTTGACCGCGCACCAGTGAACAAAGTGTTGCTTTGCGGCATACAAACTCTTTTCATCCAACTTCTTACAATACCCTCGAATTAGCTGCTCCGCAAATCTCTCTGGCAGAAGCTGTGAGACCTTTTTTTAAAAAAGAAAATATTCTGCTGTCACTTTGAATTCACACATCAGAGGAGTATCAGGTGTTCTCTAGGCTCCTGAGCACCATTTCTAATGCTTGCAAGCACACACTGCTTTGCTATTTTATCTCAATTATAATCCAAAGAGAAAAAAATCCAGGATGATTGTCACATTGCAAAATGCCCCATTTCATGTCATCTCGTAAGAGACTAAAGGTTTGTATTATAGTTACATACAGACCACAGACTTCCATACAGAAGACATGCAAGTAAGCACGGTAACTTACATAATTTCAATCATATAGCAGCCACCTCCCACCAAACTTGTAACCTAATCTCTAAACAGTGCACTTTCACTGATGTTTACCAAAAAGGAAAAACTGGCTAAGATGGTCTGACCTACACAAACTTGTGAGATATGCCCTTTTAAAAACTGTACGCACTGACTTTAGAACCTAAATGAAAGTAAAACGCAAACTTACTATGAAGATTTGCCAAATATGAACGACTATAGTGTGTTTATTTTACCTAAGTGATTACCTGATTTTTAGAAATCATGATTGCTTTGTAAGGGTCACTCTTACAATAGAACCGAACATGATCAATTGGATTCTTGTCTTCCATTCCATAATCCATGTTGATAACCTTAATAAAAGCAATAAATAAATAAATAATGACATAACGATGAGAAGTGAAGTTGGGGTTGTAGGGGCATCACAAGAAATGGTGCTAGCTGGGTGCAGTGGTCCATACTTATATCCCAGCACTGAGGGAAGTTAGGCAGAAGGATCACAAGTTCAAGTCCTGCCTGGACAACTTAGTGGGATGCTGTTTCAAATAAAAAAAATAAAAGGGGTTAGTGATGTGGCTCAGTGGTAGAGTACCCCTGGGTTCAATCCCTGGTACCACAGACATACATACATACATACATAAATAAAACAACCCTCTGAGCTTATGTAAGATCACTAGTAAGCTGCTGCAGTATAGTGGAATAAAAATAACTTTGACACAAAACCAACCATAGGAATTTCACTTAGAAATCTGGGGCAAGGGGAGAATGCATATGTGTGTTCAATATAAGTAGGGTAGGCCAGGCATGGTGGTGCACTCCTGTAATCCCAGCACTTGGGAGGCTGAGACAGGAGGACAGTTGTGAGTTCAAGACTAGCCTGGGCTACAAAGTAAACTCAAGGCCAGCTTGAACTGCAGAGGGAGATCCTGTCTGAAAAAGACACACAAAAAAGTAGGGTAGAAAGTCAATACCTACATGTGATAGAGACTGTGTGTTTATTTTTTTCTCCCATATTACTGGGGATAGAACTTGGCCTTGCACATATGAGGCAAGTGCTCTATCACTTTTTATTTTGAGACAGAGTCTCAGTTGCACAGGTTGGCTTCAAATTTATGATCCTCCTGCCTCAACCTCCTAAGTAGCTGGAATTACAGGCATGTGCTACCGTGCCAGCTGAGATACACATTTTTAAAAATTTTTTATTTTTGTTTGCTTGGTTTTTTGAAACAGAGTCACACTACATAGTTCAGGCTGGCCTTGAACTCAGTATGTAACCTAGGCTGTCCTGAAATTCACAGTGACCCTCCTGCCTCAGCCTTCTGAGTAGTATGGGGATTACAAGTGTACAATCTTTGCCGATTTTTGATCACTTAGTAAATGGCTACTGCAACAGAGGAGCTGAATTCTTTACTGTGTTCAACATTAATTTCTTTAAATTTAAAAGGCTTGCCAACTATGGGAGTGCTTGCCTGTAGTCCAAGCTACTCAAGAGGCAAAGGCAGGAGGATCGAATGCTTGAGGCCAGTCTGGGTAGAAGAGTGAGCTCCCCATCTCAAAAAGTAAGTACAAATTTAAAAACCTCACCTTGGCCAGTGGCACCACACTGGGCAATGCAGGTGTGGGGCTAGCTGCACTCCTCGCTTCTGGGAGCCCTCACACTATCCTTTCCTCCCGCCTCTGGGCTTTCTACCAGCATAGAGACCATCTTGATCTTAAGAAAATCACAAACACTACTCTTCTTCACCCCTTTCCTTTAGGGTCAAACTCATCATAAATCATCTTCCCCTGCCCTTCTGAGGTACCACAGCCCTCTCTGGGTACAGTCTGAGTAACCCTTATCTGAAATGCTTGCAATCAGAAGGGATTCAAATTTCAGAGTTTTTCAGATTTTGGACTATCTGCATAGACTACCACACTTTATAGGCATTCCTAATCCAAAACCTCCAAATTCAAAATGTTCCAAATGTCATATTTATTGGAATGTCATATTAGCACTCAAAAAGTTTCAGGTTTTGGCAGTCAGGCATGGTGGCACACGCCTGTAATCCCAGCACTCTGGAAGGCTAAGGCAAGAGGATCACAAGTTCGAGCCAGGCCCAATCAACTTAATGACTTTAAAGTGAGGGGAAGAAAACAGGAGGTCCCGATAGGCTAGGAATAAGAAAATTAAGAGGAGACAAGCTTGTGGACAGAAAACAAGATGTTTAAATTAGTGATGTTAAATAGAGGGCAGTTTCAAATGGTGGCAATGTCCGAGGTGTAACACGCTGGACCACTGGCTGAGGTGAAGTGGATAAGGTCACTGAGGATGAAAATGAAGACCTCAAAGAATGGGCTCCTGCACCGGGGATATAGCTCAGAGGCACAAGCGCCTGCCTGGCTAGTGCAAGGTCCTGAGTTCAATTCCCAGCACCAAAAAAAAAAAAAAAAAAAAAGAATTGGCTCTGTACGGCCATGAAGCTGCTCAGGATAGGGATAGGAACTGGAGCAGAGAGGAAGACTGAGCCATGCCAAAACTTCAACCGAGAGGACAGTACATAGTCTGCACAAAAATGATTATCTTCTTGGAACAAATTCCTAGAGTAAAGCTAATTTATTACATTTTTTTTAAAAATTAACTTATGTTTGTTGAGTCAGGGTCTCACTATGCTGTTCACAGCTAGCTTGTACTCACTATGTAGCCCTGGTTGCCCTTGAATTTGCAGACAGCCTCCTGTCTCAGCCTCCCAAGTGTTGGGATTATAGGTGTGTACCACGATGACTAACCTCAGTTACATTTTAAAAAAATTTTTGTTTGTGTTCTCTGAGTCTTGCTATGTATTCTTTTTTGTTTTGTTTTTTTCCAGTACTAGGAATCGAACTCATGACCTTGTGCTTGCCAGGCAGGCGCTGTGCCGCTGAGCTAAATCCCCAGCCCCTTGCTATGTATTCTAGGCTGGCCTTGAACTGATTATGTAGCCTAGGCTGGCCTCAGACTTGGGGCTATCTTCCTGCCCCTGCCTCCTGAGCACTGGGATTACAGATGTGCACCACTATATCTGGCTTGTCAACTACAATTCTGGAACATTCTTCTAATTTGGTTTCTTGCACCAATTTACACTTCTCTTTTCACATACCTTATCAACAAAGAATGTTAGAACACTTTGTTCTTACAAGTCTGATGTAAAAAAAAAATTGTTGCTGCATTAACTTGCCTTTCTCAGAGCCTGGTAAGGTAGAAGTTGTTTTACGTCTACTAGCAGTGTGTCTGTGTTTTCCTATATGAACCTCTTCAAGTACTACATCCATTTGGGAATTGCACTTTGAGAGAAAACCCAGATGGAAGTTGAGGGACCGATTGGACTAGGATTGACCTGCACTGAGGACAAACCAGACCCTCGAGTAAAACCGAGAGGCCAAGGCTTGCTTTTGCCATCTTCTACCGCCATGAACTGTTGCCCCTCTGCCACATGCCTTGGAGCCAGCCGATTATGTACCAAAATCTCTGCAAAGTGTGAGCTAAATAAACCTTTCCCCATTTAAAACAAAAACAAAAAAACCCAAGAGGCCAAGGGCAGACATGTAAGAAAGAAAGAGCCCAGGGAAAGCAGTCTGGGGAGTGAAGTCCTTCAGAGACTCAGGAAGGCCAGGTAAGAGATGCCTCTGCTCTTGTGGCCTCTCCTCTAAGGAGACAGGAAACTACAGCTTGATCTGAGGAGCTGCCACACTTCAGCATCAGCCAAGGAAACACGGTGGGCCCACTCCCTGTATCCTGCCGCAAAGAGTGGTTACAGAGAGATCACGTTTCTCTCAAGAAGGATCAAGAAACCAACAAAGGAAAGCTTATGGAAAAAATGCAAGGAAGATACCCCCTGAGATTTTAGGCACAGAACTCTGAAAATAATTTCTTACATAAAATAAAACATAACGTTGACTGGCATTCTCATCAGGATACAAGAAGACATGCGGCCTCTATGAAAATAGAAAAAGAAGACGACTTTTTCCTTTGAGTAATTAGCATGTGTCATTTTGTGATTTTCCTCCTTCCCTCCTCTCTCTCTTTCTCTCCTTTCTCTGAGCTACTTTATTTTTTTAAAAAAATATTTTATTTTCAGACAGAATCTTGCTAAGTTGCTGAGTTTCCCAGGCTGAGCTTGAACTTGCTAGCCTCCTGTCTCAGCCTCCCAGACTGCTGGAATTACAGGCATGTGCCACCATGCTCAACTCAAAACTTTTTAAGATCAGTATATTCAATGTTCTATTATCATATGATCATAACGTTATTAAAAATACTGGCAAAATACACAAAGAACATTTAAAAACTGGTTAGGAATGTTGGTTTTCTCTGTGAGACCATAGCGGGTTCTCTTCTTTCCTTATATCTTTCTGTATTTATCCAAGTTTTTATGATGAACACCTACTACTCATCACAAGGGAAGGCTTTATCTTAAATTCTTTATTTGGTCTATTCTTGGGCTGGCTACTTACATCCACTATGAAATCTTCAGCCGTTAGTTCAGCCTCCAGTTTTATTTCCGGAGGTTTAGCATCAGCAACCTGTTTTGGAAGACATCCATACTCTTCCTAGAAAAGATGAGAGCCCCATCACTAAGTACTTGTGTCACAAATAGGTCCCCCCTCTAAAAATGGCACTTCACTATGAAAGATGGTTAGAGACATCCCTGACAGATATAGCTCCTACTTATGGTATCCATTAAACAAACACAGCTACCTTCGTAAGAAAATTTCACACTGCATAAAAACAGTGGCATTAACCTACTAGATAAATAAGAGGAAGTAAAGTATAATCCAAGAAATTATTATGAGGTAATAATAATTCATCAGTTGACCCTCGTTATGGGTTTCTGTTAAACAGAAAAACTTTTAAGCAGCCAGAGGCAAAAATAGATATCCCAGCTGGGAGACCTGATATACTGCAAAGCAATTAAGTACAGGTGACCCTTGAATAAAGCAGGTCTATTTACACGTGGATTTTTTTTTTTTTTAAAAGATATGTAACAATTTGAAGGGCTGGGGATATAGCTCAGTGGCACAGCGCCTGGCAGGTACAAGGTCCTGAATTTGATTCCTGGTATCAAACAAACAAACAAAAAGATATATAACAATTTTTTTTTTTTTTTGGTGCTGGGAACTGAACTCAGGACCTTACACTTGTCAGGCAGGTGCACGTGTTGCTGAGCTATATCCCTGGCCCTATGTAACAATTTAAAAAAACAACAACTTGCAGACAAATTGCAAGCCTAGCAATATGGAAAAAATTGAGAAAAAGGAGTGCATAAATTATACATAAAGATATTAGAAAATGTTATTTACTTTCAAAGACTACATAATAATCTATTATACAAAGTTAAATTTTATCAAAATGTGTACACACACAAACACAGACCACATGTGGCTCCATTCCAAGTTGAGAGAAATGTGAATCATAACTGCCTAACGCTAACTGCAGTACACAGGATAGTACCATCACAGCTTCCCAGCCACCTCCTGTTGCTGGGCAGGTGTTGTAAGCAGCCCCCCAAAACTCCTTGTGGTGTTAGTCATTTCTAGATAAACAACATGTCTGTAGTAAACTGTGTATTGTGGTGAAAAGCCACCTCTTCCATTTTCCCCTAATTTTTCACTGTATATAATATATATATAACATACAAAATACATGTTAATTGACTTTAATGTTATCAGTAAGGCTTTCAATTAAGAGCAGGTACTAGTAAAGTTTCTGGGTGGCCAAAAGTTATAGGAAAGTATTTCACTTTGTACAAGTCAGCACCCTGAGCCCCAGCACTGCTTGAGTCAACTGTAGTTAAAACAGTTCCTCAGGTTCACTGCAGCTCACACGGGTGCTTTTTGCTGATACTTATTTTCCTGTGCTACAATCTCTAGCAAAAATCTGAGGCCCTTTCTTTTTTCCTGAATGAAGGAACAAAGGTTTGGAGTTAGACTTGGCTCTGCATCCTGGCTGCCTGTGTTCCCATGAGCAAGTTTTCATCTCACAAAGGGCTCAGTTTCCCACCTGCAAAACACGCCTACAATACTGCCTTGCTCTGAACTGTGATGGGTTAGCGGTTTCCTACTGGGGAAGACAGCTGGTGGGAACCTTCACTAATGAGAAGATGCTTGGTAACTTACCCTCTCAATCCTTCGTTTTGTAGGCTGGGTCTCACCCAGGTATTTGTACAGATTACGGTATTCAATATTTTTTAAAACTTCTCGTGCAGCATCCAATTTGGGATCAGTAGAGTATAAAATCTCCAGAAAAATGTTATCTGCCAATATGATGAAATTTTAGTCATATTAAAATGTACTGTTTTACTCCTAAAGTGGTCTCAAGAAGCAGTTCACATATGTTGATGTATTATAATTTTATTTTATTTTTTTATTTTAAAGATTAAAAAAACTAACAAAACAACAATGAAGACAAAATCAAAACAACACAAAAACAACAAAAACGATACATGACCTCATAACAAAATGATAGGAATTAACAATGGTTGCTACATTACATAGTTATCTTTTTTTTGTTTTTTGTTTTTTTTTTTGGTTTTTCTCCGGTACCGGGAACCGAACTCACGACCTTGCGCTTGCCAGGCAGGCGCTTTTGCCGCTGAGCTAAATCCCCAGCCCCTACATAGTTATCTTTAACGAAGTTGCTCAGTCCACCAGATGTAAGACCGTAAGACTGATCAAACAAAGACAGTAACAAGTAATAAAAAACAAACAAACATTGGAAATGATGTGGAGCTTCACCATACAAGATGGTAGTTCAACAATGATTCTTATACTGCATATTGTTGTTTTCAGATCAGTTGTTCTGATTACCAGATTCAAGTGTGCAAAATTGATCAAGAAAAAAAGAAAATTTTAAGCATTGACTGTTCCTTTCAATAAACCACAGACATCAGCAATACACATATCCCAGCTATCCTTGTATATGCATATAAATTTTATTTTTCATTTTAAAGAGAAAAGAAAAAAAATAACAAAACCAAATACATAAACAAAACAGCATAGAGAACAATAAAAATGATGTAGAATTTCAAAACATGGTGATATATTACATAATGTTACCTTCAAAATGGTTGCACACATAACCAGATATAGGCATCTAAGATTGATCAAACAATTACACATTAACAGATATTAGCAGTACAATCATCCTAGCTATCCTGTGTATACATATACATAGGTTTTTTTCCTCTTCCTTCTTTCTTTTTCCTGTCCCTCTCCTTCATCCCAGTTGCTCCTTCCTAATTGGGCAGTTTCTTTTCCATTTCACAATATCTATTGTACCTTTCTTCTTTTTCCTCTTTTCGTTTTTTTTTCTTTCTTTCTTTCTTTTTTTTTTTCTGGTAACAGGAATCGAACTCACGACCTTGCGCTTGCCAGGCAGGTGCTGTGCCACTGAGGTAAATTCCCAGCCCCTCTTTCAGGTTCTTATAGTGGGAGAAAATACGATGTTTACACAGTTGAATCTGATTTATTTTCCTTATAAGTATGGTCTCTAGTTGCATCCACTTACCTATAAAAGCCTCTAGTTTATCTTTCTTTATAGCTGAGGAATACCCAATTAGTCATATGAATTTTTTTAAGAGATAGAAAAATCTCTTTAAAATGTTCCATAGCAAAATTGCTGTATGTCACAACTATTGACGCTAACTGAGGAGTACTTGAAATTTTGTAAATGTCTTTAACCAAGTATTTCAAACATTCCCTTCCATGGTAACAAGAGATTCTTTTTTTATGTTTGTTTCTCTCCAATTTTTTATTTTTATTTTTTTTTTTATTTATTTTTTGTGTGTGTGTGTGTGTGTGTTTGAGACAGGGTCTCACTGTGCAGTTCAGGCTGGCCTTGAGCTCACTTTGTAGCCCAGGCTGGTCTCAAACTTGCAATGATCCTCCTGCCTCAGCCTCCTGAGTGCTAGGATTACAGGCGTGTGCCACCATGCCTGGCTTCTCCAATTTTTTTTTAATTGCCATAGGCTGGATATGGTGGTGAATGCCTATAATTCTAGTAATAGGGAGGCTGAGACAGAAGGAGAGCTATGAGTTCCAGGCCAGCCTGTGCTATAAGGTTAGAGTTCAAGGCTAGCCTGGACTGCACTGTTAAACCCTGTTTCAAAAAGACATACACACACAAAAAAATAGGCATTACCCAAATTCATTAATATTAACATTTTCAACATATGCACACTGTGCACACATTTTTGTGAAACATTTGAACATTGCAGACATCAAGATCTTCACCCCCTAAATACTTCAGCACATCTCTCAAGAATAAGAACTGTCTCTTACATAAGAAGACATTTAACACTGATATAAAAATGTTATGTAAACTGGTGTGGTAGTGCATGCTTATAATCTCAGCACTCAGGTGGCTGAAGCAGGAGGATCACAAGTTTGAAGCCAGCTACGCAGTGAAGCCCCTTCTCCCTGCAAAACTTACCTTAATATATAGTCTACCCTCAAATTTGCTTACTTGCCCCAGTAATTTAACTTAAGGATTTTTATTATTGGGTAGAGAAACCAATCATGAATAATATTAGTGGTCATACTTTTTATCTCTTTTCATCTAGAACCATAATATTTATTCCTTTTGTCTTTCAAGATATTGATATTATAGAAGAGTTCAGGTAGATGTGCCTCTGTGTGTGTGTGTGTGTGTGTGTGTGTGTTTAATTTTAGAAATAGGGATGGAACTCAAGGTCTCAACCTGAGCAACATATCCAGCTCTTTTTCATTTTTAATTTATTTGTGGTACTAGAGATTTAAACCAGGGTTGTCTTTATCATTTAGCTACATCCTAAGCCCTCTTTATTTTTCACTTTGAGATAAGGTCTTACTGAGTTGCTCAGGATACCTTGAACTTTGATCCTCCTGCCCCAGCCTCCAACGTTGCTGGGATTAGAGGCACGAACAGTACTCCCATGCCTGGCTAGTTGTTTTATAATATATTATATTACCACGGTGCATTATGTTATAGTTGACAGTGTGGGTAGTAATCCTCAGATTTCTCTACTATAAATTATAAATATATATTTTTCTCCCTCAAGGTGGGGGTCAAACCTAAGGCTTCCTTCGTGTGAGGCAAGCACTCTACCATTCTCTACCACTGAGCTACACCGCCAGCCCCTCCTTTTCTCTTTATGATTAACAAGTCATCAGCAGTGGGATACTTTGACAGACTTTGTGTTATTCCAACAAGTTTTCTGTCAACAGTTTAGGATTCACTGATGATTCTTGCCTGAAACAATTGGTGCATCTTATAAAATGAACTTTGTTATCATGCCTTTTCTTGCCCCACCCAAAAAAAGAAAGCAAGCTGCCTTATGTAACTCTCCCATTTAAATGTATACATCCCCGCCTACTGATCTGTGGTCATTCCATTCCTCATATTCAATGACGCTCTCTACAATCCTTCCATCCTCAGTTTTCATTATTTCTTCATGTATTACACACAGTTTGAAAACAGAACAATTTTATGTTAACGTAACCAGATGAGACTCTGTTGTTGCTATTAGGAATTGAACCCAGGACTCTGTGCGTGCTCCAACACTGAACTACATTTCCAGCCCTTTTTAAAAACACTTATTTTGAGACAGGGTCTCACTAAGATGTCCAGGCTGGTGTTCACCTTGCTACCCTCCCGCCTCAGCCTCCCAAATAGCTCAGATTACAGGCATGAGCCACCATGACCGGCAAGACTACATTTTTCTAATCGAGGCTTTTCTTTTATTCCTGCCTAAATTGATGGAATGTTTTCTTCAATCACAGAATCTCAGTTCTTGGAACCCTACCTAATCCTGAAGTTCATCTCAAAGGCAGGGCACCATAAAGCCTTCCTCAGTCTATCCAGCCAACTGATGTAATCCTTCCTTCCTCTGAACCCAAAGAGCTTCATGATACTGTTATGCATTTCCTCTATTCCACCAGGTACAGGTTTTTAGAGATTTACATTTTCATTCCTGTTGAATGGAAGAGGGATTACTGGGTCATGGGATAACTGTATGTTCAATTTTACATGAAAAATGCCCATTTCCTATAGAGCCTATACCATTTGCACTCTCATGTATGAGAGGTGTATTTATTCCCGATAAGTTTTCAGGGAAGAGTTATACAGAAGTAGAGGAAGCTGCCTGTCTATCAAACTTAATGGCCAAAATACCACTCTGAAATAATGTAGACAGCATTCAGTGTGGGAGTCCAAACATGTGGCTTTGTTGTCTATTTGGATACACTGTGCTCTCCTCCATGTAGCCTTAGTTTCCTCATTTGAGTCTGAGGTATGTGACCTAAATCATACACTTAAGATTCTATGACTCAAATTTTAGAATTGTGGTGTGTGTGTGGCTTTGTATTCTACCCATTGTTTAGGAATGTTGAGAGATAAAGACCAAGATAGTTGTATTCTGGGCAGATGGTATAAGAGGGTATAAGCTCAATGGTAGGGCACTTGCCTGGCATTTGCTAGCCCTGAGTTTGAACCCCAGCACCAAGAAAAAGGAAAACAAAAACAAAGGTAAGATAGCTATATCCAGAACATTAATCAGCAACAGGATTTTTAGGAAGCAGAGCATAGAAACACAAACTGTGGCGGGGATGAATTACTGACACATGCAACCTGGATGATTCTCAAAAACACCAGACTTCACGTAGCATGGCTCCAATGGCATAAAGACCTAAAACAGGCAAACAGTCCCTACTTCTGATTGGGAAGGAGCAGGAAAGCACATTCTGGGGAGAAAATAATGTTCAATGTCTTGTAGTTGTCGAAACTCTAGTAAATGTATACAAGATTTGTACATTTGTATGAATTGTATATAAATTTTGTAGTAAAAGAAAAATCAACAGAAAATACAAACTACTGTACTTAAATCAATATGCATATTGCAGGAGTTAGTGTACTGTGAAAGGCATCAAATGAGGTGGATCAACAGGTGGACAGGAGGATGTTATTAAGTGCTAAATACATAAGTAAGTTTAGTAACTGGTTGAATTTAGGTGGTGGGTATATAGGTGTTCATAGCAACATTCTTTCAATATTGCTGAGTGGTTTTAAATACTTCAAAATAAAATGTGGAAACAGTCCAAAAAGACAAAAAGATTAAAAAAAAAAAAGCCTAGAAAGTTGAAAATTTTAAACAAATAATAGGCTGTGTTGACTTTTTTTTGTGTGTGTGTGTCTTTTTGAGACTGGGTCTCACTATCCAGTTCAAGCTGGCCTTGAGCTCACTTTGCAGCCCAGGCTGGTCTGGAACTAAGGACCCTCTTCCCTCAGCCTCCTGAGTGCTGGGATTACAGGCGTGCGCCACCACGCCCAGCTCTGTGTTGACTTATGGAAAAGCAACAAAGGTAACAGAGGCCCTCGTGGTCCTATTTTTTCAACATCAGGTGGTTAAGGACAATAAGGATTATAATACTGTTCAGAATAATTTGCAAGAGGAGTAGTGCCTCTGTCTCAAATGATGAAAGCTGGGCAGGCCATATGCTCGTCTCCTATGCAGGTAGAGAAGGCACAAGCATTGACCTAATCTCTTACTTGGGATTTTTGTACCTGGAACAAATGATGGAAAGAGACTAGAAGAGTTTAGAGCAGTGTAATTCTAAATGGAATCTATAGGGCGGTGTTTGTCTTCTGATTGCTACCTAAAACTGCAGAGGCAAGCACAGTGACTGGCAGGAAGCACTGACAACCTCTGAAGCTCTCTGGCACTGCTACAGTATCCAAGTGCAGGCTCTCCATTTTGCTACAACACACAAGTGTATCAAGTGTATCTCAGCAAACACGGTGAAAGCCAATCTGGGAGGTATGGAACCTTCATGGTAAGCAGGAGCTGTTTACACAATGTGGACTACAGTAAAATGTGTGCTACTTTAAGGTTAGTTTGTCAGTTGACCCAAACATTTAAATCCAGAATATTAAGTATTTTCACCAAAAATAGCTTAAATGCAACTATAACTTTACAGAATAAATTGTTAGAACTGGTTTTTAATGAAAGATTGAAGATGACTTTTTAAAACACACCATCATTTCCTTTATTATGGATTAAGTTAAAATATTTCCAGGTTGCTCAAATCCCCAGGTTGTTTTAAAATCTCCTTTTCCTTTCCTATCAACATAAAGATGGGAGACTAGCTTACTAGGATGCTCTTAAAACAGAACAGAGAAACAATTTAGATGCACATTATCCCTTGTAATTTTGTCATCAACCCAACCCTAGATTGGGCATACTAACGAGCAAGAAACAAACGTAGCTGTCACATTCTAATCCCTAAATATTGACATACACAATATACTCAAAAGTGCACAAAGACATTTACGATGAAGAATCACTACTTCTGATTTTATTTATGATTGGGAGATGACTACAAAGGTACAAGTGTAAAAAGTTCTCTATTATCTGCCTGTGGATATACACTCATACCTTGGTTATTGTGGGGGACTGGTTTCAGGACCTGTGCTGCCAAAATCCAAGGATGCTCACATTCCTTATATAAAATAATGCGCACATCCTCCTGCATACTTCAACCTCTAGATTACCCACATTAACTAATAGGATATAAATGTTTTTTTTTTTTTTTTTAGGATATAAATGTTACATAAATATTTGTTATGCTGTGTTCCTTAGGAAGAAATGAACCAAAAAAAGCCTGTACATGTTTAGTACAGACACATTTTTCCCAAGTATTTTTGGATTCAGGGTTAGTTGAATCCACAATTGCAAAACATGTGGACATAGAGGGCCAAATGTATTTTTAAAGAATATGTATAAGGGGCTGGGGATTTAGCTCAGCGGCAAAAGCACCTGCCTGGCAAGTGCAAGGTCGTGAGTTCGGTTCCCAGTACCGGAGAAAAACAAAAACAAAAACAAAAGAATATGTATAGTTTATGTAATACAAGTTTGTCTCTATTATATTTATTTTTATTGTATTTATTGCCAGTAAAGTCCAACAAAGTTGGGTATGGTACTGTATGCTGTAATCTCAGCATTCAGGAAGCTGAGATAGAAGGATCACCATGAGCTCGAGGCCAGTCTGGACTATATAGTGAGTTTAAGGGCAACCTAGATTACACAGCAGTATCATGTCTCAAAAAACAAACGAAGAACAAAAAATGGGTTTACATTTTATATGTCCCCTTTTCCCCATCTCATTTTTCTAATGGTTTTTTTAAATGGTGCTCAGGATCTAAGCCAGGGTATTGAACATACTAGACAAGTACCCTACCACCAAGCTATATCCCTGGCCCTAGTAATTTATTTTTATCTTATTTTACAGAAACTATCAATCTAAAATTTTAAAAACTAGTTCTTCAAAGTAGCTTGGACAGTTCAGGTTTTGCTCTGGCAGTATGCTGCAAGCAGAACCTACCCAGGACAGAACGGCAGGAGTCTGGGCAGTACCAGCCGGGAAGCTGCTGCAGGAGGGTCTGCCTGTGTCTTGGGGCACTCCGTTTCTGTTGTTTTTGCCCATTTTCAGAGCCTCCAGCTTGTCCGCTGATTCTGTGGGCTGTGTGTCTGATTTCCGATTGTATTTTTGTTTATTTATTTATTTTTGGTACCAGGAATCAGGACCTTGTGCTTGCCAGGTAGGCGCTGGGCCACTGAGCTATATCCTCAACTAACTGTATTTTTAGATGCTCGGATGCAACTATAAACTCTGACTGGTCTATACCTTTTGTTCTTCTTTTGCTTCACTTATCTTCACTTATCTTTATTCTCAGTCTACAATTTCCTAGTTTAAAGAACCAGCTACAATACCCTCATCTCTTACTCTAAAGCTGCAAACTTTGTTTCTGCAGAAATATGAAGAGATACTCCTAGCCTCATATGCTTTGCAATAAAAAAATATTAAAAAGTTGGGTGTGATGGCATATAGCTGTAATCCCAGCACTCTGGAAGTCTGAGGCAGGAAGATCGTAAGTTTGAGCCCGGCCTAGGCAACTTAGTGACTTAGATAGACTCTCAAAATAATACACCTCCTTTTTTTTTGGTCTTTTTTGAGACAGGGTCTCACTCTGCAGTTCAGGCTGGCTTTGAGCTCACTTTGTATCCAAGGCTGGCCTTGAACTTGCAATGATCCTCCTGCCTCAGCCTCCCCAGTGCTGGGATTACAGGCATGCACCAACACGCTCGGCTCTTACACCTCCTTTTTATAGGCAAGAAAACCAAGGTTCAGGGAAGTTAAATCACTTTACCAAGATCACCCTGTTAGTACAATATGAAAATAAACTCGAATTTAAAAGTATACAGTATAAAAATAAATAAATAAAAGTATACAGTATAATCACTTAAGAAGTTAAAATACACTGGAAAGTGTGGAAAGTAACCCATCAGCAATCCAGGGATTCACACCATGTTTGAGATGAACCATCTTCAGTTCTTACCTGTCAGCTTGGTGAAGGCTTCCATGTCATCAATTGCCGTAGAAATGCGGTATTTTTTCCCTTCAGCACCTATAATCTCCATGTAGGGGTCTGCTTTGAGGAAAGCATCTGTAATCCTAAAGATCATTTTATGAAAATATGCTTAGACAAATTGTGAATATTTGTGCTTTATGCCTTCCTGAAGGGGATCTTTCCATTCTGGGAAAACAACACCTTGAGGGAGGCTGTTCTAAGGACAGCTGCTTCTTTCTCACACTAAGTGTGGGTGATCTGTGAGATGATGCATTCACCGTGTTCCAGGCACAGGGGAGGGTTTCAGATATGTGATCTTTTTTTTTTCTTCAGATACGTTATCTTGTTTGATTTTCCAACAATGGGTTGGTATAACTAGCTCCAATCTTACAGACAGAGAAATAATATAATTTTCCTTCAAGCCAGTTAGGAAGAGGCAGTGCCACGCTTTGAATGTAGACTTTTCTGACTCTGGATTTTAAAAAACTCTTACCAAAGTATCAATCATTCTGACTAGTCTACTCATGATAAAGGACAGACAAAAATAGAAATGAAGAGAAATTTCTAACCCAACATGAATATGAACATGAACACGAAAGGTTTACAATAATCCATTTATTGCCATTTTAGAGACATGTTATCAATTTGATTTGTATCTTTTTTTTTTTTTTTTTTTGATACTGGGATCAAACCCAGGGGCCTGTACATTCTATGCAAGTGCTCTACCCAAGGCCTTTCTAAATTTTATTTTGAGACAGGGTCTCACTAAATTGCTTAGGCTGGCCTTGAACTTTTGATCTTCTTGTCTCAGCCTCCTTGGAGTGGCTGGGATTACAAGTATACTCTACCACATACTCCACTCACAGTGCCTGCCTGGCAAGTGCAAGGTCATGAGTTTTGATTCCTGGTACTAAAACAAAACAAAACAAAACAAAACAAAAAAACTAGAAGGGAAAACTCCTCATGGGGTCTTTGAGCTACATATAGATTCTACTGCACTATTTTGTTTTGATTCTGATGGAGTCAGAAGGTGAAATTCCTGCTGGATTTACTATCTACTTCTAACTTTTATATTTGACAGAATAAAGCAGACATTACGCTTAATCCTCAAAATTAACTGTTATTAATATCAGAATGTCAATTACTCATGTCCCACCTCCTGCTACCCCGATGACTTGGGTATGGTGCGTAAGTAACGACCTGTGCAGAGGTCCTGGACCGTTTGGGCGCCGCCTCTCCACGTCCAGCCCGAGGCAGCTCCTCTCCTAGTCATCTGCACTACTCCCCACTTGTCCGTTTCCTGCCTCTTCTGCTAAATTTACTTTATGCTGGATTTTGTCTGTTTCTTTAAGAAAACCATTTTAGATTTGCTTACTTAAGACCCGACTTGAATTGATCTGGAAATCTTAATCTCAGCCAAGAATGATAATCCAGTAAAGCACCATGGCAGATTTTATAGGGAAATAACAGTAAAATATCTTACATCGTATCAATGATGTTCCCGACTTTGTGCTGATAGGCTCTGCGGTGTAAAGAGTTGCGTGTGTGGAACATGTCATAGAGATTTCCAACCTCCTGCAGAAAAACATGAGAGCACATTAGTTTAGGGTCAGACTGAAGAAAAGGGATGTCGGCAGACAAAGGCTGCGTGTAAGGGCTTTCATTAAAATCCTTGAGGTGGGGGCTGGGGATTTAGCTCAGCGGCAAAAGCGCCTGCCTGGCAAGCGCAAGGTCGTGAGTTCGGTTCCCAGTACCGGAGAAAAACCAAAAACCAAAAAAAAAAAAAAAATCCTTGAGGTGACTAAAAGGGAATGGGTAATGCTGTTATTGGTTTGCAACTTCCCTTCCTCTTTTCTTTCTTTCTTTTCATCCCTCCCTTTTTCTCTCTCTCTTCCCCACCCTTCTTTCTTGAGATTGAACTCAGCGCCTTCACACTAAGCTACATTCCCAGCCCTTTTTTTAATTTTTTATTTTGAGACAGGGTCTAAGTCGCTAAATTGTCTAGGCTGGGCCTGAACTTGTGACCCCCTTGCTCCTTCCTTGCAGAGTTCTGAGATTACAGGCATGCATCACCATGCCCATCTGGAATTTCATTTTTAATAATAAAATCTTGCTGGGCATAGTGGTACATGCCTGTAATGCAAGCACTTGGGAGGCTGAGGCAGGAGGACTGCTGTGAGTTCAAGACCAGCCAAAAACTGCATAGTGAAACCCTACCTCAATAATAAATAAATAAATGAATGGATGAATGAATAAAATCTTGTATGTTGCAACTTTGTGACAGGACTGGTTGGGGTTGTTTTATTTTGTTTTGGGTTTTCCTTTGTGTTAGGGATTGAACCCAAGGCTTTGTGCATGCTAGACACATGCTTTACTACTGCACTATGACAGCCCACAGGTTCTGTTTTAGGCATTTTAAATAATCTTTTAATCCTCTTATTAACTCTACAAAATAAGTATTATTATTCTTATGTTCTTTATTCTTTTTTTTTTGGTACCAGGAACCGAACTCAGGACCTTATGCTTGCTAGGCAGGTGCTGCACCACTGAGCTACATCCCTGGCCCTATTACAGTACCATACCATTCTTTAGTTATAAGATTGTCATCTAGCAGGGACCTTGTGAGGTTGAAATTCTAGCTCTGTCATTTATTAATTCTATCCCTTCCTATGCCTCAATTTGATCACTTGTTAAATGGTGTTACAGTTTAAATATGGTTCGTCCCCAGCAAAATTCACGTCAAAAGTAGGTTCCCAAAGTAACAGCATTGAGAAGTAATGGGACCTTTAAGAAGTAATTAGGGAAAAGAAAGAAAAAAAAAAAAGAAGTAATTAGGCTTTGGGGGCTCCATCCTCACGAAGGGATTAATGTAGATCTTACAAGAGTAGTTTGTTATAAATAGAGCCTGGCACCTCCCTTTACTCTCTTTAGGATGTGCCTGTTTGCCCTTCTGATTTTCGCCCATACAATGAGCAGTAAGTGATCCTATCAGAGGCCAAGCAGATGCCAGTGCCATGATTCTTAGGCCTCCATACCTGTGAACTAAATGAACCTCTTTTCTTTATAAAGTATCCTGACAGCAAAAAAAAACAGACGAAGACAAACAGGGTAATAATAGTATCTCATAGGGTTATAAGGGTTGTTAATCTATTCAAAGCATTTAAAACAGTGTCCAGGGCTGGAGATATAGTTCAGTGGTACAGTGTTTGCCTAGTGAGTGAGTCTGAACACTTGGTTTCAATCCCCATTGTCATAAAAACAGTAACAACAAAAAAACACTGCCCAGCACAAGGTGAAATAAATGTTGAATTTAACATTATTACTATTTAGCAGTGCACTAGAAATGAAAAGAGCCCTGTGTGGGACGGACAACTGGTGATCAACCTGTAACACCCAGCCGAACTGAATCAGCGTGGTGCCGGGTGTGGGAGGGCCCAACTGAGGACTGTGGCCAACAACATAAAAAGGAGGACTGGAAAGGAAGAACTGAGGGCTGTTGGTTTTCCTGGAGGAGCTTGTCACGCTGGCTTTTCTGATAGGGACTCAGCTATTCTCATCATCGGAGGAGCTCGGGACCTTGCTGTTGCTGAGGGTGGCTGTGGTACTTTCCGGGGAGCTCTGGTCCTTACTTTCAGCATTGCTTCTTGGCTCCAGTACAGATCCCTCAGCCTACTAGCAAGATCCTCCATCCCACTGGCACAGACTTTCTAGCTTCCACCACTGACCTTGTGCCCTTTTCAGCACAGATCCTTGAAACAGGCTTGTATGAGACACTGCTGTGGGCTCTTGGCCTCCAATTGGACTTTTTAATTTTTTTGGTCTTTTTTGAGACAGGGTCTCGCTATGCAGTTCAAGCTGGCCTTGAACTCACTTTGTAGCCCAGGATGGTCTTGAACTTGCAAAGATCCTCCTGCCTCAGCCCCCCGAGTGCTGGGATTACAGGCGTGCACCACCAGGCCAGGCTGATTTTTCTTGATAGGGTCTTTTGCTATAGAAAAGTTTTAAATTTTGATGTTTATTTATTTTCTTTTAAGAATTTTATAGTTTTAATGCTTACAATTAGGTCTTTGATTTTTTTTGAGACAGGGTGTCATTCTCTAGTTCAGGCTGGTCTTGAACTCACTATGTAGTCCAGGTTGGCCTTGAACTCTCAGCAATCCTCCTGTCTCAGCCTCTTGAGTGTTGGGATTATAGGTGTGCACCACCATGCTCAGCTAAGTTTTAATTTTTAATTTTTTTTTTTTTTGCCTTTTTTGAGACAGGGTCTCCCTATGCAGTTCAGGCTGGCCTTTCCAGTTGGACTTGTAGGGGTCACTGTCATGGGCTCTAGGTCTTTAGCTGGACTCATGTAAGACTTTGCTGTGGGATCTAGGCTCTCAGCTGAATTCTTTGGGTCTTTAGTGTGTGGATGGATTTCCTGCACTCTTTTGTATTTGACTGTTTGTGTAACTACTCTAAAATAATCCTATAAATTATGTGTCCTGGGGCTGGGGATTTAGCTCAGTGGCACAGCACCTGCCTGGCAAGCGCAAGGTCTTGAGTTCGGTTCCCGGTACCGGAAAACAAAACAAACAAACAAACAAACAAAAATTATGTGTCCTGTATTAAACTGTTTCCCTTGTAAACCCTGACTACAAGCCCTAAGATGCTTACAAATATATTAAATAGAGATTGATCATTAACCAATTATCCCAAATAGGTGAAAGTTATTTCCAGATCTCAGACCAGGAGCTACACTCTTCTTGTTGCCTCCTTTGACACCACCTACCTTTTCTCTAGTGCAAATATGCTTCCTATTATCCACTTCACACACACGGGCAAACTTAAGAAAGCGCTTGTAATCAAAATTATTTTGGATTCCAAGATGATGGCAGTCCCTATAAGGAATCCAAAGGAAAAAGATGAAATTTTTCAATAGGAAAAGTGTACTTTAAATACTAATACTGAACTTATATAAAGATTTTACACAACTTTTCTGAAGTGTTCAGTGCATACCTGGCAAAATAATCCCATTTATCTACATCAATGCCATTTCTTTTATTAGCCACTATCTCATAAAGGAAGCTTTTCTCTTTAGGACGTCCTTTATATGGCCACTACAAGACAAGAAAACCCAGGCAAAGTTTTAGGATAGGCAACAAATCTATTTGCAAGCAAAACAATTGTGTTCATCTGCAAATTATAAACTGGGAATAAGAGATAAATTAGAAGGGTACATTCTTTCTTCCAATTCTTATAAAAGTGGAAAGGGAAAAGAAATGCTAAGGTATACTGTATGTCCTATTAATACCAAATCTTTACCTTAGGAATGTAGCTCAGCAGTACAGCACACACATATACACACACATACACACACAAAACTTCAAGTGCCATTCAAAGGATCCTAATGTATAACACCTCCCACAAACAAGAACATTTTTGTTCTCTTGACTTAAAATCTTTTTAAAAATATTTAATTATAAACTAGTAAGAACGTTCCTAAAATGATAATACTTGAATTTATGCATTAAAATAATACTGTCTACATATCTAGTAGCTTCACATCTAACTACATGTCTAGTCTAAATGACATGTGTATGTTTCAAAGCATTTTTGGACCTCTACTTTTTTGGAAATTAGGTATTCACTACAAAATCACCTTTTAATTCTATGTTTTACTGGTCTGGCATGGTAGCATGCGCCTGTAATCCCAGAACTGGGAGGCTGAGGCAGGAGGATGACTGTAAGTTCAAGGCCAGCCTGGGCTACAAAGTGAGTTTAAGGCCAGCTGAACTGTACAGTGAAACCCTACCACAAAAAGACAAAAAAAACCAAAACCAAACAAACAGAAACTTTGTTTTGGAAGTGGATTTGCATTATTTAAGGGGGAAAAAACCCTTAGAGTCTCAAGGGAAAATTATTTTCCAAGTTATTTTAAAATTAATAGTACAAAGATAAAAAAAAATGGTACAAAGATTTTCCCCTGAACTAGTTTAACTCTTTAGGTCTTCATATATCTAGATATTTCAAACAGGCTAACTATAATGGATAAACAAGATACACTTTTACATTTACAAAAAAATTTAAGGCTTCTATCTATTATACATATATATTCATTAAAAAGGATTTATAAATATTTTAAATTTAAGAGTAACTTAAAGAACTCAGTTAAAAGGCACAAAAATATAAACTTTTCACTTTTTCCATTAGAGGGTAGAAATACGTAACATATTTTGTCATTGGCCCCTTTAAAACAGCAAAATATGTAGCTGTAAAAGAAGTGGAAACATTAGAAAAGAGCATCAGTGAGTTCAAATTAAATTGAATACAGTACAAACTTACCGAAGAATCTTTCACTGGTGATTCAAGTGGTCCTGCAATTTGTTCCTTGATAAAACAAGTATCTTCCTCAGGGATGAGGCCATACTGTTCCATGACAGCCCTGAGTCCATTAGAATTCACTAAATACTCAAACATCTGAACTGATCCCTGTTCATGCTGGAAAAAATCAGGATAACGTGGCCTATTAGAGACTCTAGCCTACCAGGGGCCCCAGCTATACAAATTATTATTGTTCTAGGTAACTCTGATATGAGTACTGGATGCTTTACTGCGCATTAATTACCTAACTGCTAACTATGGTTTTGCAATTTTTAAAATCTGCTGCTTTTGTAAGTATTTTATTTGTCTACAAAGCTTCTACAAGCCATGCTCATTATATTGCAATATAATAAACACATTCTATGGGACAAAATGATTTATGGTACCTAGAAGAATATTACCAGGTCATGCAGGCAGAATCCCATTTTGATGAACACCACTAAGAATTTAGTCCTATTTTCATCAGTGTTGGAACGCATGAAGCTAAAAGCTGTTAGTGCTTCCATCTAGTGGCAAATGGAGGCAGCTGCAACCTTGTCAGTAAAATTAAGGCTCTGAAATCAAGATCTTATCAGGAAATTCGACTCTGAAATCAAGATCTCTGGGATGAGAGGCAGGCATGGTGGCACATGCCTACCTAGCAAGTTCAAGGCCAGCCTGGACTACATAGTAAGGTCTGGTTTCAAAAAATCAAAACCAAACACCAAATAACCACCACCCCACCCCACCCCGCCAAAAAAAAAAAAGACTAAATACAAGTCTCAGTCAGCCTCAACTGGCTCATTTCTTTGCTTACTCTCCCACAGGCATTGTGAAGATCAAATGGTCTCCTGGAGACACTGGTTCTACTCCAGTCTCACCATAACTAACTTAAGATGAAAAGCAAAACCTAAATAGTCCTATATAACTATCTTTTAAAAAATCAAATCAAGATATATATTAATCTACTTACAAAGAGTTAAATGGTAACTACATTACAGACATTTGGCAGACACTCCCTAACCAAGTGATCAAAGTTACTATCACAAGTAATGGCTCACAGGGGCTGGGGATTTAGCTCAGCGGCAAAAGCGCCTGCCTGGCAAGCGCAAGGTCGTGAGTTCGGTTCCCGGTACCGGAGAAAAACCAAAACCAAAAAAAAAAAAAAAAAAGTAATGGCTCACACAGATTTTACATACCTCTGCACGTGCCACATTAAAAAGGAAGCAGCACTTCTCTGGCATTCTGCCAGAAATAGCAAATCTGGCTATGGTAGTATTAGATCAACTGAAACTCAAATTGAGGGACATTCCACAAAACAGCTCACCTACTCTTAAGAAAATGACAAGGTCATAAGGACCGTGTGGTGGCACATGCCTGTAATCCCAGCACTCGGAGGCTGAGACAGGAGGACTGCCACAAGTCCAAAGCCAGCCTGGGCTACATAGTGAGTTCAACACCAGTCTGAATTAGCCTATGTAGTGAGATGCTGTCTCAAAAAAACTGAAGAATCTAGCTGGGCATGGTGGCACACACCTGTAATCCCAGCACTTGAGAGGCTGAGGCAGGAGGACTGTTGCAAGTTTGAGGTCAGCCTGGGCTACAAAGTGAGCTCAAGGCCAGCTTGAACTGCAGTGAGACCCTGCCTCAAAAAAGACAAAAAAACCCAAAAATACCCCTGAAGAATCCTCCCAAAAGAAAAGATAAATGGCAATAAAATATATACTGAATCTTACACTAGGAAAGTAAAAGTTTTTCCCCGTCTAACTAAATATGGTCATTTGGTGAAATTGGAAAGTAAGTCTGTAAACTGGGTAACAGTACTGAGTCAGTACTAATTTCCTGATTTTGATAATTGTGCAGAGGTTATATTCCTGTTTTGGGGAAATATACAATGAAATATTTGAGAATAAAAATATGTGAGGTTGGAAGTGATGCTGTATGCCTGAAATCTCAGGTACATGGGAGGCTGAGACAGGAGAATCACTTGAATGCAGGAGTACCAGGCAGCCTGGGCAATGGCAGGACCCTGCCTCAAAAAAAAACAAAAAGAAAAAAAATAGTATGTGTACATACTAAAATGGTGCAGAAGAAAATTATATACACCTGGAAAAAAAAGAGCATGTTTAAAAAGAAAACACAACAAAACATTAACATTTAGCAAATCTAGATTGAAGGGTTTGGTGCTAGGGATTTAGCTCAGTGGATAGCGCCTGCCTGGCAAGTGCGAGGGGTTGTGAGTTCGATTCCCGCTATGGGAAAAGAACCAAAAAAAAAATAGAGGGCTGGGGATTTAGCTCAGCGGCCAAGCGCCTGCCTGGCAAGCGCAAGGTCGTGAGTTCGGTTCCTGGTACTGGAGAAAAACCAAAAAAAAAAAAAAAAAAAAAAAAAAAAATAGATTGAAGAGTTCTTTTCCATTAAAATTGGAGTAAAGTTACATAAAAATCAAATGTTAAAAACTGAATAAAAGAAGTTGTTCAAATGGGAAGAGAAACAGGAGGCAGGGAAGGGAAAAGAGATTTAAAGAAAAAAAAACAGAAGGATAAAAATGGAAGTAGAGCTTTTGTGAACACAGAAAAAGGGTTGGGGGAAGGGGAAGAGGAACCCCCCCAAAAAAGAATTGCAAGTATGGTGGTGCATGCCTGTAATCCCTACTCAGGAGGCTGAGGTAGGAGGATTGCCATGAGTTTAAAGCCAGGAAAAACTACATAGTGATACCTTGTCTCAAAACAATCAAACAATGAATTAGTCAGTCAATCTATCAAGTGTATAAGAATTAAAAAAAAAAAACTTTCCTATTTGCAGATGCATTGAATTGCAATGATCTACATTGAAAATGCAAAAGAATCTACAAAGTTTTTAGAATAAAGGTTGAGCAAAAGAGTAGTTTCAAATATATTCCAATATATAAAAGCCAAATATATAAGTAAACCAAAAAAGTAAATTTCAAAAAGATAACACAATTAATAACAACTAAAATTATAAGGAACTCTGTAAATACAACAAAAAATATATAAGACTCTGGAGGAGAAAACTGCAAAATTCTTAAGGGGAGAGTAAACAGGCAAAGACCCTCTTGTATGACCTAGTAAGAACAGTCATCCTTCCAAGTACCAAGACTTACTACAGACCAATAATAATTAAGAACTTATGGACCAGAGGGACTGAGGACGTGGCCCAATGGTAGAATGCTTGACTACCATGCCCAAGGAACTGGCTTTGACCCCTTTACCAAAAAAGCAAACAAAACAAGGTGTGGAACAAGAATCCAGAAAGCTTCCTCATATATGGGAAACTGAAAAATGCTAGAAGAGCTGGCACAGTGGCACATCTGTAATATAAACTACTCAGGAAGTTGAGGCAGGAGGACCACACAATCAAGACCAGCAGGGGTACAACTTATTAAGATGTTGTCTCAAAATATAAAAAGGGCTGGGAATGTAGTCAGAGAGCTCAGCGGTAGACCATCTGCCTAGCATGTGTGAGGCCCTTGGCTTAATCCCCAGGACTGGTACGGGGCTGGGGGACTCGTTGAGGCTCTTGATGTCCTAAGCCAAGAGTGGAGGAGGACACCCAAGAGTGCAGCAGGATCAATGATTTATTTGAAAGAGGAATGACAAGAAACACTCCACAGAGCGGGGGAGGAGGCCAGTGAGAAGAGCTCTTGGCACTAAGGGGAATTAGTGTCAAGTTTTAAGCCTTAGGGTTTAGGGTGGAACTGAGGGTTTGGTCTGAGGCGTGACTCCAACCAGTGAGCAACCTGACTCTGCCTCTCCAGTGGGAGGTGGATTTTGGCCTTTTATGGCCCTCACAGAACTTTCCTGGTGTCCAGAGCCCATGAGGGTCAAATCTGTAATTAGGGTTGGGGTAAGCCAAGAGTTGCAGAAGACCACTGGGTGGAGCACTTACTGTAGACAAGCTAAGTTTCCTGGTTGCATTTCCCCACTGTATTTAGATTTGGGCATCCCATGTTTAACTCTTAGAAGGTAGATCTAGTCTAGAAAGTGGGCTCCCCACTGGGCTGGTCTTCTCTTCTTCCTCTAGCCTTTTCCTTACCTACCTCCTGCCTCAGTACCACAAACAAACAAGATTTTAAAATAAACAAGTATCTATATTAAAAAGAGAATAATTAAAATTCTACTATTCACGTATATAAAAATTAATTTCCCATGCGCTAAGTTCTTAAATGTAAAAGGTAAAACATTTAAAAGAAAAAAACATCAGCTCCTACTAAATCAGTCCTTTGCAGAAAACAATTACAAATTACATGTATAAGCCCAGCATTCTGGGAGACTAAGGCAAAAGGATTGCAAGTTTGAGTATAGCCTGGCCAATTTAGTTTCTCAGCAAGGTTCTATCTCAAAATAAAAAAATGAAAAGGGCTGGTATAGTAACTCACTGTGAAGGATCTGGGTTCAACGCCCAGTACTGCAAAAGAAAAAAAAAATATTAACAAGCCTAACACTAAGAGAAAATATTTATAATAAATATCTGTAAATACACACACACACACCCCAATCAGTAAGAGAGAAAAAAATCCCTTTCTTCTTCCTCTTTTTTTCTCTCGCTGCTCTAGATTAATCGAGTTTTACTGCTGCTCACTGCACGATCTACCAATAAACCATATATACACCTAGACTCCAGTAAAATTTTTTTTTTTTTTTTTTTCCCCCTCCGGTAGCGGGAACCGAACTCACGACCTTGCACTTGCCAGGCAGGTGCTTTGCCACTGAGCTAAATCCCCAGCCCCCAATAAAATTTTTTAAATGGATGAAACATTGGAAGAAATTAGTACAGGTAGTAGAGTGGGATCTGGCAGACCACTCCCCTCTACCCACTTGAGTTCGAGCAATACCATAGCAATCCTCTTTCCTCTGGTTTTTTATTTTGTTTTGTTTTGTTTTTTTGAGATGGAGTCTGGCTTTGTAGTTCATGCTGTCCTTGAACTCACTATGTAGTGCAGGCTGGCCTTGAACTCTCTGCTGTCCTCCGGGCTCAGCCTCCAACCCAAATTCATTAGGGGCCTGTGCTGGGCCCTTCTACTGTTTTAAGAGAGGTAGAAAATGAAATAGCAAAGAACCTAGATACCCCCAAAGCCTCAGGCTACAGCATATGTCTATTAGATCTCCTGGCCTGACCTTCAATAACCTTTTCATCACGAGACCTTATTAATAGCTCATAAGTATGGTTCATAAATAGAATCTTATTTACGGTTCATAAAAATTTATGATAAATAAAATTAATAGTTAAAAACATCTCAAAAAAAATCTCATGCTCGTAATTTAATCAGACTCAATTCTGGGACACTCATGCTCACTGAAAGCATCTGCAATGATTTGGCCCCTGTCAATCTTACTTAGGTACCCAACAAGCGTCACCTACACTGGGCACGCTTCCTTTAAAAATCTGAAAGCCTGATTTATCTGTGTGCTGTGTTGTGCTTTTTATTTCCGTTGCACTTCATACCACTTTTCTGCTCATGCAGGACCTTCCCTCAGTACATCTTCCTGTGATCTTTAATAAATGTAACCGCTTCTGCTTTACCATTGAATATATGCTTTGCAATACATTGCTTGTAGTACACAAGAGCTTGGAATTGAGCTGCTGGATTTACCACGTAACAAAATTTGCCAAAAAGATGTACCAATAACAGTGTAAAACACAAACAACAGGAAATGGTATTCAACATACATTAGAGAATGCAAATTAAACCCTGAGAGACCATTTGACACTCAGAAGTGCTAATCTAAAAGATTTCAAATGCAGGGGCTGGGGTGTGTCTCACCCGTAGAGCACTTGCCTAGCATGTGCAAAGCCCTGGGTTCAATATGCAACTCTGCAAAAAATAAATAAATTTTTAAAAATAAAATAAAAGATGAAATGTTGATGAGGCTATACAACAACTGGAACTTACATTGCTGGTGGGAGTGTAAAATTGCATAACTACACAGGAAAACTGTGGTAATTTCTTATACGGTTAAACATGCATCTACTATATGCCCCTATAATTCTATGCCTAGGCATTTACCTAACAGAAATGAGAAAATACTTACAAAAATTCTTGTAAACTAATGTGCATTATAACCTTATACATAATTGCCCAAACCTGTAAACAACCCAAATTCAATCAAAAGGAGAAAAGATAAAAAAATTGATTTATTCACAAACTGGTGTACTACTTTAGCAATAAAAAGAGATCCCCTTCTGATAGACTGAACATAAACAAATCTTAAAAATATTATGTTAAGTAAATAAAATAAGACACAAAATTATACCTACTCTCTGATCCTCTGTATATCAAATCCAAGAACATGTATGTTCATGGAAGTCAGAAGGTGGTGGGGAGTAAGAACTGGTTAAAGGGGAAGGAGGCAGGGCTGGGGATGCAGCTCAGTATACAGAGTGGCCTTATTATGTACCAGGCTTGGGTTCCATCCCTAGCAACACCCCTCCAGAGGTGAGGTGCAGAAGGGAATTTTCCAAAAACATGAAAATATTCTGCATTCTGACTGGATGTAGACACTTATCAAAGCTCGCTTAAAAACTTTACTTTTATTGCACATGAATTATACCTCAAGGAGAAAAAAAAAAAAGAGAAAAGCTAGTGGTTGACTTGTAAGAAGCTTCTAAGACACATTAATTCCTTTTCAACTCTAGGTTCCAGAAATACAGTGTGGTAGAAACTGGGAGTGGCAGAAACATAACTTCTCAAAAACTGATTCCAAAAATAGGTCAGCCACCTGCAAACACCTAATTATATGGTTCATCTGATGGTCAGGTTTCAGTTACTTCAATGGTCATACCAAATGAACAGAAACTGGATTTGGCTTTTTTTTTTAAAAAAAACAGCTGTGAACTAGAATAGAAAAAAACATTAATTTGATAATTAGAAGATTTGATTTCTAATGCTGGCTCTACTACTTAACAGCTTTGTGATTTCTGACACATTGATATGCTTCTAAAAGTTTCAAGTTCCTTTTCTTTATAAAATAAAGATAATGGCGTGGTGGTGCACACCTGTAATCCCAGCACTTAGGAGGCTGATGCAGGAGGATCACTGCAAGTTTGAAACCAGCTTGGGCTACGAAGTGAGCTCAAGGCCAGCCCGAACTACATAGCGAGATCTGTCTCAAAAAGACACACAAAAAAGGTAAGATAATGATTCTTTCTTTATGGACTATTGCTATAGCTTCTTCTTTTTTTGAGGCAGCAGGTATGGGAATTGAACTCATGACCTCGCATTTGCCAGGCAGCTTGCCACTGAGCTATATCCCTGGCCCTTTATTGACTATTGTGAGGATCAAAAGAAAACACACATAAACATGAATGAGAGCACTTTGATGTGTATAATGGGGAAGCACATTGTAGCACAGCCAGGAACCAAATAGATAATGTAAATGGGCTTCCTTTTTATTGACTACTGAATGTACACATACCGTCCATTTCACCTCTGGTCGAGCAAGTGGGATAAATCTTCCATCAAACATATGAGAAAATGGTCCATGTCCTTAAAAACAAAAGCAGCCTTAAAACAAGCAAAATGTTTGTAAATTGGTAAAACTCAATTCTTTAAGAAATCTTTTGCTAAGCATGGTGGCGCACGCCTGTAATCCCAGCACTTGTGAGGGTAAGGCAGGAGGACTGTTTCGAGTTCGAGGTCAAACTGAGCTACACAGTGAGTTCAAGGGCAGCCTGAACTGCATAATAAAACCCTGTCTCAAAAAACCAAAGAAAGAAAAAGAAAAAGAATTGTTTTAGTTTAATTGAAATATCAACAGAAATCAATAATTGATAAATCACAAAACAGGACAAATCCTACCTTCCTATTTTCTACAGCAGAATAAAATGAAAGGACAGTTTTATGGTTTTTTTTTTTTTATTTTAAAGAGTAAAAGAAGGATAACATAGTAATGGTGGGGCTGACTGAATTACAGACAAAGTGGTAGGAAATTATCAATGGTTGTTGCTCTACATATTGTTATCTACAGGATAGTTTCTCAGGAAAACAAAGAGACAAATAATAGTGAGTTACAGACAAAAGTGGTAGGTTATTATCAATGGTTGTTGTACTATACTTTGGTATCTTCAAAGTG